CCCTACTGCCCTTGGGCTGGTCCAGACCCCAAGCCTTCTTTCCCTCCCAGAATCCCCTCTTCCTCATTCTCAGCCTCCTACCACGCTTGAACCCTTGGGCAAAGCTGAGATATCAGCTTAGATAGTAACAGCTTAGACCTGTACAGATCTGGGGGTCTACGAGAGCGCCCTAACCTCCCCAACCCCGGGTCTCTCCTTACCGATAAAGGTCACAGCCTTGGCCGTAGGCCGCGGCCACAGCCCACAGGCGGAAGGCCTCAGTGCTTAGTGTCTCAGCTTCCGTAGGAGGCAAAGCCAGTTCCTGGGGAGCCTCAGCTATGAAGCGGCACAGGCGGCTCCGGAGATCAAAACTGCTCAACTGGGGTGGGCAGAGTCTGGGGTCAGGATCAGCTGGGACTCCCTAGTCCCAAGAAGCCTCTGGTTCTCTCACTATGGAGACTTTGCCAACTGTTCCTGGCCCCTCTGGTGCCCCAGGGTCAGAGCTCTGGAAAAGGTAAAACTATCTCCTTCCTTCTAGCAAGTACTAGCCGAGCATCTGTTCTACAGCTACTTGGCGACAGGTGATGGGTGCCTATCTGTACGTGGCCCTGTGTCCTGCTCACCAGTCGGGCAGCAATGTTCCTACCAGCCGAAGCCAAGACACGAAGCAGTTTCATGGCAAGGGTGCAGGGGACTTTGTGTAGGCTGGCGGTAGGCCCCACCCCCATGGGGGACCAGCTGGTGGGCAGAAACTCTCCAACTATCGTCTCTATCAGCCGAGGGCACTCCAGGACCTGCGGGGGACAGGAGGAAAAGGGGAGGCTGAGGGTCAAGACCAGGTCCAGCTAAGCTCTTTGTCCATTTCCTGCTGCCTCTTTCTTACCCTCGTGGCTGACTCCAGAGAATGCCGGGCCAGGCGGATGAGCACAGCCAGTATGTCAAGGACCACAGAGGGTCCTGGGCAGGTCACCTCCAGCACATAGCGCAGCCGAGGCAGCAGGTTGGTGGCCAGAAGCCCCTGGGGGTAGATCAGAGATAAATCTCCTACCAATGCAGCTGGACCCCAGGCCGTGACGGCCCCTCCTGTCCAACATGTGCCTGCCCCTGTGCTGCGGTCATGGGCCAGGTGCAGCTGTCCCAGTGCCGCTACCTTGATGACATCATGTCGGGCCAGATCAGATGGAGGCCGGTTTCTTTCCTCAGGGCTCTTCTTTTTGGTCTTTTCTGCTGTGGGCTCTTCGTCCTCGTCCTCATCTTCCTTGTCCTCCTTACTGGGCATCAGAGGGAACACCAGAGCTCCATGGTACCAGGAGAAGGTGCTGTCAAGGAGCTCCTGCCAATGGAAAGGGAATCGGGAGGGAAGGAGAAGGACAGGCTAGGAAATGGGCCCAGGAGTAGGGAGCGGAGGCCACCCACAGAGAGAAAGGCAAGGCTCCTGCGCCTTCCTGGTGGCTCAGGGGTGAAAGACACAGTGCTATCAAGCTATCGCCTGAGTCCCATCCCCGGCCAGGGAGCTACCCACATGGCGCAGCAGACCTCTCCTGTCTCCCCGCTGCTCTCCTCAGCAGTGTGTTTCAGTAGATCTGCCTGTTCTGCTCCCTACTGTCTCTGGTAAATCCTCTCACCCCCCCACACCTCTGGCCTGTACCCCAGCTCTTGTATGCATAAATAAATAAATCTTAAAAAAAAAAAAGGAAAGGCTCCTGGGCTTCGGAGCCTTTGGTTGAAGAGAGTAAAGCTGCCATTCCATTTTCTGCTCTTCATGGCAAAGCTGCAGCAACATGGGCATGGCCAGCAGGACATAGGGAGCCTGAAGTCTCAAAGCCCCACTCCTATCCCCATTGTACCTCATCTCCAGGAGCGACCAGCAGAGCCCGAAGAGCACGGACAGCAGCTGCGATGACCCCATCCACTCTGTCATCCAGGGAGAAGCGCAGGAGGAAGAGGAAACCAGCATCCAAAAGAAGGCGCAAAACACTGCCCACTAGCCGGTCCCCAAACTCCCCAGCCTGGGCCTTGGGGACAGGAGGATAAAAGCCAACTGAAGATTATACTCTTTGTCCTAAACCCTTTCCTTGCCCACCGATGACTGTGGGTTGGTCCCACTCCCAGTCTGACCCACAGTCAGCTGATGTATGGGCTCATCAGCCAGAGTGGAAGGGGCAGAGGTGGGAGAATCTAAGGCAGGGGGCAGGCCCAGGCCTGCAGTCCACTCACCCTGTCGATGACCTGGGCCACCACATGCAGCGCTAGTGCTCTCTGCTGGGCCACCTGGCTGCGTGTCAAGTGAAACAGCTCCTGTAGGGAGTACCCTGCTCTCTGAGGCAGGGGCAAGAAGTTAGAAAGAGCCAAGACAGAGGGGAGCACCCTCCCACCCCAAGTGCCAGCACTGTGTGTCAAGCATAAGTGATTAATTCTTGCCTCTGCTCTCCATGGCCCTGCAAACTGGTAAAAAAGATAAGGCGTGTACTCAATACCCGTGGCATGAGGCTGCTTGGGAAGAGTGTAGTCACTGGTATTTAATTTGCAACTGGAGAGCAAGAGAGCAGAAATGTGGTTGGCCTCGGTGGGTGGTGGGAGCTACGATGGCCTGGCAGGGGGCAAAGGGCCAACACACCCCTGGGGCAGGTTTCAGGAGCTGAGCTCTGGAGGTCCCAGAGCACAGGTGCACGTGGGGAGAGGACTGTCCATGCACAGCAGGAGGGCGGGAGCTGCAGGGTCAGCAGGGAGAAGCTGTGGAAGGGATATCTTGTGTGGCTAAGGAGCTAAGACCTTATTCTGCAGGCAGAGGGGAGCCAGGAAACTTCTGAGGCAAGGCATGGCCCAAGCTGGGCCCGAGGAAATGGGGGTGGCAGCCCCATGAGGGACAGAATGGCACAGTGGAGAGAGCGGGCCACGCGGTGGAGCAGTCGCGAGGAAGCATGGCTCACAATGAGGACACATCACGGGAGGTGGCAGACACAGAACGGGTAAGTCCTGCCCACTGACTAGAATGTAAGGGGACGACTAGAAAGAGTTCAAGTCCGCTTAGTTAGGCGATCAGGAATGGACAGAAAGGCCATGAACCAGAGCAGGGCGCACAGGAGGTCCATGGCAACTGACCAGAGGTTCTTTTCCACACGGTGGTTCAAAGCACTTGCCAGAGTTGCCCAGGCCTCACCTCCGCCTCCTCTCCATGGTGATGCAGACCCAGATGGGTGGGCAGGTCCACATCGGGGGCCAGCAGCTCTCCCTGAAGACTGAATCGGGCCTGCATCCGCTAATGGGAGAAGAAAGAGGGCTATGGAGAGGGGCAGCAGCAACTCCCCCGCACCCACTTTTTTTTTTTTATTTTAAATAATAAATTTTATTTTTATATTCCCCATACAATTGCAACCCCCCCATTCTGACCCCAATCCCTCCCCTCCCGCCCCCCACCCCCCAAAAAGTGTCTCTGGTTCATAGTTTTTTGTTGATTTTGATTTTCACTTTCTTATAGTTATTCATTTTCCTGGTCCCTTATTTAAGTTTTCTAGATTCCTGCTATGAGTGAGACCATCCGGTATTTTTCTTTTTCTTTTTGGCTTATTTCGCTGAGCATGATCCCTTCCAGCGCCATCCATGTTGCTGCGAATGGCATGTGTTTATCTTTTTTGAATGCTGAGTAATAGTCCATGGTGTATATGGACCACATCTTCTTGATCCAGTCATCTATTTTTGGGCATTTGGGTTGTTTCCAAAGCTTAGCTATTGTAAACAGTGCTGCTATAAACATAGGGGTGCAGGTGCTCTTTGGAATGGATGTTTCTGTGTCCTTTGGGTAAATACCTAGGAGTGGAATTGCTGGATCATATGGAAGCTCTATGTTTAGTAGGTCCAGAAATCTCCACGCAGCTCTCCATAGTGGTTGGACCAGTTTGCACTCCCACCAACAGTGCAGGAGAGTTCCTTTTTCTCCACACCCTCGCCAACATTTGTTGTTGCTAGTTTTTTTAATCTGTGCCATTCTCACTGGTGTAAGATGGTATCTCATGGTAGTTTTGATTTGCATTTCCCTGATGACAAGTGATGTTGAACATTTTTTCATATGCCTGTTGGCCATTTGCATTTCCTCTTCAGAGAAGTTTCTTTTTAGCTCTTCTGCCCATTTTTTGACTGGATTATTTTCTTTGTTGTTGTTGAGTCTCATCAACTTTTTGCAGATTTTTGTGATCAGTCCTTTATCATTAGTGTTGGGCCCTGCACCCACTTTTAATCCTCCTTTAATCCTCCACCTTTAATCCTCCACCTCCCAGGACTTGGGTCCTGACTCTCCTGGCCCTTGAGTCGAGGCAAGGCGATGGGAGAGGAGGCTGAGTGCAAAGGGAGAGGCTTCTCAAGCTCGAGGGAAGAGGAGGGCCTGAGTACCGGGTGCAAGAGCTACAGGCCACCCCCCGCCTGCCCACCTGTAAGCCGCTTGACCCTCCTCACCTCCTGTGTCTGCTGCCGCCGGAGTGGGGGCAGGTTCTGAGTCCAGTGGAGCTTCTCCAGCTCAACAGTGTCCATGTGCAGCCATTCTTTATGAGGGGTCACGGGCAGAGTCAGAGCTGGGGGACAGAAGCAAAGTAGCATTTCCTAAGAGATGCAGCTCACTGCTCCCCTGGGGGCCCATCCATTACCCCAAAGTGCCACATCCACCCCTGCCCAGCAGTCTGGTAGCTTCTGCCTCCACTGACACCAAGGATTTGTTGGGAGAAGGAGGAAGTGAGGAAGAGAGAGGAGGAAGGGAGGACCAGCACAGCAGGGAAAACATAGCTGCCCACCCGCTAAAGGAGCAGTGGGGAGGGGCAACGAGGAAGGGATAAGATACAAAAACAGACCCACAATCTTTTCTTCCTTCCTCACTGCAATCCTCATCCCCACCTGCTCAGCTAGCTGGGAGTTCATCCTGGGGCAGCAGATTCCTGGCTCTCATAATTCAATTTCTTCCTTTTTAATCACTAATAAAATCTAGTTCCTGGGAAATAATTGCTCCCACTGGCTTCTCTGTTTCAGATCTGACATTTTCATCAGACGTGCGTCAGCCCCTACCTCTCCAATCACCCTCCACCTGCCATGTCCCCCCAACTCTGAGATCAGAGGCAGAAAGAACGGTAGGCTGGACTGAGCCAGAGCTGGATCAGCTACCCAAAGGCAGGAGTAGCTGGTCTGCAAGGGGCAGAGGCCAATCAGCTATCACAGTGTTGCCTCTTACCAGGGAAGGGGGAGAAGGAACAGCAACAGACAAGAGAACAGGATGCACACACAGGAAGAAGACACGCATCAGCAAATGAAGACTGATTTCAAGCCAATAGTGAGCATTACATGCCCAAGGAGAGAGAAGATTCTCTCTTTTCCTATTTGCCAGGCCTAGCAGAAGGGCTTTTTTCTCCTTTTATTCCCCGAAAGGTGATCCTCCCACCCTCCAAACCTGGGGCTCCTGGCTCCAGCTCATCTTCCTTCTTGGGCTCACTGGCAGAAGTTGCCACAAGGGGCTCCTTTTCAGTGACTTCCACAGAGGATCCTTCTGACCTCTGCTCCTCCACGGCCTTCTCGCCTACTTGCTCCTGGGGGTGGCTATGAGATCTCAAGAAGGCAACCAAGCTGGGATCTAGTGAAGAGGATGGAGGGGAGAATTATGGAGGCAGATGCTCCTCAGCCCCCTACAAACCGGGGCCTGCTGAATACCACCTGCCTGTGGGTGCCAAGGCCAGGACAAACTACATGCCAGGCTTGACCTGAGCCTCTTGGGCTCTCCTGGGGCCTCTATGAACTTGTCTTCTCCTACCTTTCACTGGGACCTGCTTGTCCTCATTCCCTCCACCCCTCACAGCCCCCCGGTTCAGGCCTATGCCCTCCCTGTGTTTGGTTCCAAGTCAGATGTCCAAACTAAGTGGCTGTGGAATAAGCAAACACATGCTGACTAGGGCATGGGAAATACACTTAGGGGAATCATTTCGCTCACTTTCTGCTAATTCTTTCGCCGCCAATATTGACTAAAAATCCAATATATGCTCTGCTCTTTACAGGTGCTAGACACAAGAGCCTGGAACAAGACAGTTGGTGCTACAGTTTTGGTGAACAGAAGCAAGGAGACGTGGCATCCTCTTATTACCGAGAACAGCGTGGCTGTGCTGGAGTATGGCTACAACAGTGTCTGTTGCACTAGGCTCCAGTATACACAGTGTGGAGATGAACAGTAGGGGCTGTGAGACCAGACAGAGGTGGGTTTGCATCTCATTGCTGTGCTCCTTACCAATTATGTGGCCAGGGGGAGAATTTCGTTAGGTTTTGAGCCTCAGATTTTTTTCTTTTCCATATATGAGCAATGACATTAGTATTACCTACGTCCCAGGAATAGTCTGAGGGCAGAATGAAATCCTTCATTACAGGAGCCGGCACCATGGCTGGCACACACCGGAAGCCCCTCCTATCCTGTGTTAGCAGGAGAGCCAGGTGCCCATACCAAGCTGAGCCAGCAACTGCCTCTGTTCCTGCAGGATCTCCTCAGGAGTCATGGCTTGCAGTCTTGCGACATTCTCTTCGTGGATAGTCTGGACTTCCTGCTCAGCCTCCTGGCATCTGAGTCCCTTTCCTGTGACCAGATGGGGTCCCACGAAGCGGTGGCTGCCCTGAGGAAGCTGGCCGTCCTGATCCCTAGGTGTGAGTACCTCACAGGTCACAGTGCCTGGAAGAAGTGCAGGTTCAGGGCTTTTTTTTTTTTTTTTAATGTTTATTTATGCATACAAGAACTGGGGTACAGGCCAGAGATGCAGGTGTGAGAGGATTCATCAGAGACAGAGTGGGGAGCAGAACAGGCAGATTGACTGAAATACACTGCAGTCTGCTGCACCATGTGGGTCACCTCCCTCGTTGGGGATCGAACTCATGCTGCAGTGGCTGTGGACAGCTTCACAGCGCTGCATCTTAACCCCTTGCACCATCAGGGATACCCAGGTTCAGTTTTATTACCCTCCACCATTTGAAGATTATACTTTTGTAATACCGGTTAACCTTGGAGACTGGGATTGGGTTGGGATGGTAGCCTCTCTACCACCCCAGGACTAGTATGAAAAGTTTCCCTCAGTAACACTTGATTCTCCTTGTGACTGTCTAGGCAGTCTCTAGAGGCCCACCCTCAGATCTTCTCTCAGTAATTTGCATCATTAAAGCAACCCTGGCCTACATCTTTACAGCCCCTGCCAGACACTTTCACCCATTCGTTTTTCCCAGGGTAGAGTAATAGCCTGCCTTCTCCCTGCACCTCAGACACAGGTGTGGACCTAAGCCTCTCATACTCAATACTCTGAGTGGGTGTAGAGGGACAGATTTCTCTTTCAATGGAAGAAGTGCATTTCATATTTAAGGCAGGGAAGATACAGATCCTAAGATGACTCGATGATCATGCCTTACAAAAAAGCCATCTCTTTAACCCCGACTCACCTCCTGGTGAGCCCAGCATGGATGTGTCTTCTCCAACGGGAGGGACCCTGGCTTCAGACCCTCTCCTTGCGGCAATTTCCTGGGCAAAGATGCTCTTCTTACCAGATGCTGCTGGCTTTCCCTGTGGGGCAAAAAGAAAATGCAGCGGACTGATGCTCATTGCCTCATTCTCTTTTCAACCCGTTTCTAGCAAGGTTGAAAATAAAGAGATTAAAAAAAGAAGGAACTTTGTTAAATATCCAGAGACACAACCCTAGTCCTCAGAAAAGCAAAGCCAGGTAGGTGCACAGGTGTTGAAGTCTGATAGAGTTGGGCTAGGTTTCTGGCTCTTCTACCTATTAGATGTATAGTGTTGAACAAATTATTTACCCCTTAGTTTCCTCATCTGAAAAATAGGATGGCAGCTGTCTTATATAGTTGCTGTTAGGAGAATTAAACCAAGTGATGCATATGAAGTGTTTAGCATGGTGCTGCTTTAACAACAGAACTGCTTATCACTAAGATTGTCTACCTGGGAAGATATACTAGGAGGTTCACCTGGGTGTCCCCTAAGCACCATCTACCACCTGCCTACCTGTCTCCCCTGTGCACGATGGAATACAGGAGGGAAAGCAACACCACTGGCCACAGGCAGATTTACAGCCATTGAACTTGTATCTCGCTCCTGCAACAACAAAGCACAAAGTAGTAACAATATAGAGATGACGCAGGCTGGGCCCAGTTCTCCAGGACCAGAAACTTGCTCAAGGAGTCATGCCTGACCCTCAGAAACTTGCTCAAGGAGTCATGCCTGACCCTCCTTGAAAAGTAATTGTAAATCAGCCCCCGATGTTACTGCAGTGGTCAAAGTTCCACCCTTCTGAGTCACCCACGATTTCATCAGGCTCACCACCCCCACCCAACATCCTCGCTGCCCCGGAATGCCTCATCCCACTCAGCCAGGGTGAGACGCACAATAATCTTGGTCAGGACAGCAGTGATGTGCTCATCATGCCTGTTCAGCCTCTCTTCAGGGTCCTCGTGTTCAGGTAGAGGTCGACCGGGGCTGGGTCTGGCTCTCTTTGGGGGAGCAGGAACCAAAGCTGGAGGCAAATCTGGGAGACCTAAGGGAAAAAAAACTAGCTGTGAGGATATTCACACCTTCCCAGGAAGAGACTGAGGGCCAGGGGGAAGTCAAAGAACAAAAGGCAGCTGTAGTGGGGCCCTGACTTCAAGCTATGTCACCTGAGGCAAGATACTTAACCTCTTTTAGCCTCAGTTTCTTCAACTGTAAAATGGGGCTATGCAGTGTCTGAAATAACAAGCAGAGTCCAGTCACATCAGAAAGAGGAAGGAGGGCCTCCCTGGTGGCGCAAGGGGTTAAGACACAACCTATGAAGCTGTCTGCAACCTCTGTAGCACAAGTTTGATCCCCGGCCAGGGAGCTACCCACATGGTGCAGCAGACCTCTCCTGCTCCCCTCAGCAGTGTACTTTGGTCAATCTGCCTGTTCTGTTCCCCACTCTGTCTTTGGTGAATCCTCTCACCCCCCACACCTGTGGCCTGTACCCCAGCTCTTGTATGCATAAATAAATAAATCTTAAAAAAAAAAGAAAGAGAGAGGAAGGAGCCCCAGGGATGTTGCCTCTCCCCGCAGTCTGGCTGCACCCACAGCCACTCACTGTCCAGCATCACCACATCCCGATGCTCCTGCGGTGGACGCTGGGCCAGGTTAACATCGCCGCATCTCCGGCTTCCTTTCTTCACCAATTGTACAGCTGGGGCTGCTCCAGCTGCAAGAAACTGACTCTGGAAGTGCAGCAGATCCACCTCAGACTCCCCGGGCTTTGGTCTAGAGAGCATCTTGACACGTTGTTGGCTGCCTCCCCTGGTGAATCTTTCCAACACTGCTTTGGTGTGGGAATTCTCTCCTTCACCCCTGAAAGCAATAAAGGTGATGGGCCCTCTGCAACTAACACTTGATTCTCTCTTTATTGTACATCAGCAAAGACTCTTTTTTCTCTTGGGTTCATTCCAACTCATTTGTACCTTATTACCACCCCCTCCTTATTTCCACCCTCCCTAATATCACCAGCCTAGTAACAGTATTTACTGCCAACTTAGATTGCTTACAATCTGTGAATGATAAAACTCTCAGGGACAACCATCAATGAATGACCTAAGGAAAATATTATCAGAGGCCAAGCAGATAAATGTGTCAAAACAGGGAGTGGTGATTCTGTATCAAACTGGAAAGAACATGCCTGGCCTAAAGGTATTCAAATCATTAAAAACCTTAGGCTATAAAAGACCAATATATAGGGGCCTCCCTGGTGGCGCAGTGGGTTGAGCACAGCGCTGTGAAGCTGTCCACAGCTTCTGCAGCGCTGGTTCGATTCCCGGCTGACCAGGGAGATGCCCACATGGCGTGGGACCTCTCCTGTCTCACCCGCTGCTTCCCTCAGCAGTGTATTTCAGTCAGTCAGTCTGCCTGTTCTGTTCCCCACTCTGTCTCTGGTGCGTCCTCTCACCCCTTGCATCTCTGGCCTGTACCCCAGCTCTAGTATGCATAAATAGATAAATCTTAAAAAAAAAAAAAAAAAGGGAAAATAGCAAGTGTTGGCAAGTATGTGAAGAAACTGGCTGCCTTTACATTGCTGGTGGGAAGGTAAAATGGCCTAGCAAATATGGAAGTTACCATACACACCAACAATTTCACTCCTTAGATATAAACCCAAGAAAAATGAAAACATGTTCACCCCCCAAAAGTGCACATGAATGTTTGTAGCAGAATTAGCCATAATAGTCAGAAAGTAAAAGCAATCTAAGTAAGAGATAAACGAAGTGTAGTGTAACAGAATAAACAAAGCATAGTGTATATATACAACATATAATCAATAAAAAAGGAATGAAGTGCTGATACATGGATGAATCTTAAAAACATTAAGCAAAATGAAAGAAGTCAGTCACAAAGGGCCTCCTATTACAATTCCATTTACATGAAATGTCCAAAATGGGTAAATCCAGAGAGACAGAAAATAGATTGGTGGGTGTTAGGGACTAGGAGAACAGGAGAGAAGGGAAGTGAGTGCTAAATGGTACAGTTTCCTTTACGGATATGAAAATGTTCTTGAGTTAAACAGTCATGTTGGTTACAACCTTGCGAATATTTTAAAAACCACAGAACTGTATTCTTTCAAGTGGTGAGTTTGATGGTATATGAATCATACCTTAATTAGAAAAACAATCTTGGGTTGGCCAAATAAAACATGTCTGCAAATTTTGTGGCTAGTTTGGGTGGGATCCCTGAGCTAGAAGCGAAATAAAAATATTTGTTATTGTTATTATTAAAACAGTAAATATATTGACCATTTAATATGTGCTAATACTTTCTCCAAGTAATTCATTTAATCTATGCAACAGCTATATCATAGGTTACTATTATTATTTATAGTTTAGGGTTGAAGAAAGGGGGTGCTGAGAAGTTGAATAATTTGCCCAAGATTTCAGTAAGTAGGCCTCCCCGGTGGCTCAGCGGTTGAGCGCTGGGCTGCAAAGCTGCCCGCAGCCTCTGCAGCGCTGGTTCGATCCCCGGCCGCCGGCAAGGGTCCCACATGGCGCGCAGACCTCTCCTGCTGCCCCCTGCTCCCCTCAGCAGTGTACTTCATCAGTCTGTCTGTTCTGCTCCCTGCTCTGGCTCT